AAAAAAAAAAAAAAACACTAAGAATGGACACCCTGTCTTGTTCCTGATCTTAGGAGGAAGGCATTCCAAATTTTAGCATTAAGTATGATAGCTATAGGTTTCCAGGCATCTGGTAAATGTCCTATCCATTATTGAGAGTGAGATGCTAAAGTCTCTATTACTAAAAGTGAGATATTTGTCCCCAAACTTTATTGAATTGTCTATTTTCCCCCTTCAATTCCACCATTCTTTTTTTGAGACAGAGTCTCACTTATTGCCCTCAGTAGTGTCACAGCTCACAGCAACCTCCAACTCCTGGGCTTAGACAATTCTACTGCCTCAGTGTCCTGAGTAGCTGGGACTACAGGCACCTGCCACAATACCTGGCTATTTTTTGTTGCAATTTGGCTGGAGCCGGGTTTGAACCCACCACCCTCAGTATATGGAGCTGGCACCCTACCCACTGAGCCACAGGTGCCGCCCAATTCCACTAGTTTTTGTTATACCTATTCTGGAGCCCTATTGTTCAGTGTGTATATGTTTACAATTATTATATCTTCCCAATTAACTGATCTTTTAATTATAAAATGTTTCTTTTGGTCCCATGTAATGTATTTTGTCTGTTATTAGTATAGCCACTCACTATTTGCATGGAGTACCTTTTTCCATCATTTTCTTCGAGGGGGGGGGATGGAGGGTGGCAAATTACAGCTATCTGGGCTCAGCGCCTGTGGCTCAAGTGGTTAAGGTCCTAGCCACATACACTTAAGGTGGCAGGTTCGAATTTAGCCCGGACCCGCCAAAACAACAATGACGGCTGCAACCAAAAAATAGCCAGGCATTGTGGTGGACGCTTGTGGTCTCAGGTACTTGGGAGGCTGAGGCAGGAGACTCACTTGAGTCCTGGAGTTGGAAGTTGCTGTGAGCTGTGATGCCACAGCACTTTACCCAGGGGGATAGCTTGAGGCTCTGTCTCAAAAAAATACTACAGCTGTCTGTTTTAATAAAATCTTTTATATTTTCTTTTTATTTTAAAAACAAATCTAAGATTTATTCTGTAACATTTGGATTCAGTCAAAAGGCTGTACTTTAGGACCTAGAAGGTCACAGGTTCCCCACCCTCTGAAGTTTTTCCCTGGAAAACAATGGAACATATTTATTTTTTTTAGAGACAGAGTCTCACTTTACTGCCCTCAGTAGTAAAGTGCCATGGTGTCACCAGCCCACAGCAACCTCCAACTCCTGGGCTTAGGCGATTCTCTTGCCTCAGCCTCCCGAGTAGCTGGGATTATAGGCACCCACCACAATGCCCAGCTATTTTTTTTTTGTTGCAGTTTGGCTGGGACCAGGCTTGAACCCATCACCCTCAGTATATGGGGCCAGCACCCACTCACTGAGCTACAGGCGCTGTCCCTGGATCTTATTTTTTAATTCAATCTGAAAGCAACTCATGGATTGTTGACTAAAGAATGCCTTTTTCCACTAAGGAAGGTCATTGTTATGAATCACAGAATACAACTTTGGAATGTGGAATAATAAAACAGACATTCAGCCAAACTATTTCCCAGTTATTTCCCTGGAAAATAACTATAGTGACAGACGCAGCCATATTCTCGTCTAATCCAGTAACCTACCTCTCAGCCACTGCTAGCAGGCGTTCTGGCCTAAAGGTACCCTCAGTGTCAATGTACATGGCCTTTCCTTCACCTCCACCTCGGTCAATTGGAAGCTACAGAGAACAAAAAACATTGGAAATGACCACTCTATTTCTGATAAAGTTGACCAAGTTCCCCATGACATCTCTATAATTCCTCCCAACCACAATAAGGCAAAGGGAAGAAAACACCTTAAAATGACAATGAGAGGTAGGGAGGAGGCATTCTCTTCTGATGGAAATATATAGCTAGTCTTGTCAGAATTGGAATGCTCAGAAATATAGTCCAAAGTAGGGTATAAAATTATATGACTGCACTAAGATTGATCCATTAAAGAAATATATTTACCTTATCTTTATTTATTTATTTTTGAGACAGAGTCTCAAGCTGTTGCCCTAGGTAGAGTGCTATGACATCATAGCTCACAATAACCTGAAACTCCTGGGCTTAACTGATTTCTCTTGCCTCAACCTCCCAAATAGCTAGAAATATAGGTACCTGTCACAATGCCCAGCTATTTTTTGGTTATAGTTGTCATTGTTGTTTGTAAGGCTTGGCTGGATTTGAACCGGCCAACTCCAGTGTATGTGGCTGGTGCCCTAGGCACTTGTGCTATAGCCACCGAGCCATTTACCTTATCTTTAATAAGGGACCTTAACCCAAAACTCAATTAATTTCACCATGTCTAGACCAAACTTAAACTTCTTTTATTGAACAGAGTTCACTCATGAAGGTTACAAAAGGGGCTTATTGGTCAAGCATGGGGGCTCATGCCTGTAATCCTGGCACTCTGGGGAAGCTGAGATGGGTGGATTGCTCTAGCTTAGGTGTTCCAGACCAGCCTGAGGAAGCGCTAGATCTTGTCTCTAAAAATTAGCTGGGCGTTGTGGCAGGTACCTGTAGTCCCAGCTACTTGGGAGACTTTGTCAAGAGGATTGTTTGTGCCCACAGGTTTGAGGCTGCTGTGAGCTATGATGCCACAGTACTCTACCCAGGGCAACAAAGTGAGACTCTGTCTCAAAAAAAGGGTGCGTGGGCGGGGCTTATTAATGACTCAGAAAAATCTATATTCTATAGCATATTTAAAGTATGAGCAAGAGGCTGGGTGTCGTTGATCATGCCTGTAATCCTAGCATTCTGGGGGGCCCAGGTGGAAGGATAGCTTGAGCTCATGAGCCTAAGACCAGACTGAGCAAGAGTGAGACCCCCACCTCCACTAAAAATTAGCCAAGCACTGTACTGGGTATCTGTAGTCCCAGCTACTCAGCAAACTGAGGCAGGAGGAGTGCCTAAACTCAAGAGTTTTGAGATTATTGTAAGTTAGGCTGATGCCATGGCACTCTACTGGGTGACACAGAGCAAGACTATCAGGAGAGTGGGGAAAGGTGGGGGAAAGGCGGGGAGAGGGGGCGGGGGAAGAAAGGGGAAGAGAGGGGGAAGAAAGGGGAAGGGGGGGAAAGAGGGGAAGGGAAGATAGAGGAGACGAGAAGGAAAATCATCTCCTGAGCCACTGAGGAAAATCTCTGCTTTAGGCTATCCATTCTATATCGAATACATTTGAATCTTATGAATTTTAAGTGAATGATGCTAAAGAGTAATTTCTACTCTAGAAATCTACTTTGGAGACATGATTCACCTTTAAATCCCCTAGAACACTTTACATTAAAGGACTGGTACCACCAATTCTTCTTTCCTTTCCTATCTTTTGAGAATTTTTTTTTTTTAGAATTACTAAAAAATTAAATGTTTACAATGAAAAGTCAAACAAGGCTCAGTGCCTGTGGCTCAAGCAGCTAAGGCGTCAGTCACATGCACCTAAGGTGGCGGGTTCAAATCCCCAGCCCGGGCCCGCCAAGCAACAATGATAGCTGCAACCAAAAAA